GGGGGGGGGGGGGGGCGAGGATGCCATAACCCCCAGTACACGCGGGCTCGGAGGTGCTCCAGTGCGCAACAAGCTTTGCCAAACCGCCAGCGGTGCACTTTTTTCCTTTTTGAGCTGGCACCACCAGCCATTGTGGTCCGGCAGGCCCGAGCTGCAAAATTTTTGGCTGGGCGACGAGTTCATTTCCAGCAAGGGGGCCTCCCTCGGAGACGTACCTGACCACCCTGCCCTCCGGAGTGTGGGTGTTGCCACACAACGCACAAAACAAAACAAAATGGCAACAGAAGGTGGCAAGATGCATTCGCAACCATGCGTAATAACAGATGAATCTTGCCCAGTTTTATTGCAAGATGCACTCTTTTTATTTTGTTCCTTGTTCCGTGTGCCAAGGCCCTGTAGAGGAATTGCCTCTCCCAATCATGTGTACCAAACGCCGGCGATTGAGAACAATGCGCACCTTATTCACATAGCGGTCATAAAAAGACCACATACTATGTACCAAAATGCTTGTTGGGATTTGATGTCACTGAAGAGGAAATACGTTACAATTTACAATTTTACAATTCATGCAAATCTACAATTTCCATTCGAAAATTTGCCATTTTGGAAAATTTATAAAATGGCAAGGCAAGCACAGTTTACAACTTTACAATGACAAAATCAGCATGCAAGTCTAGGCTACCAGAAAGGCCCGGGACCATTTGCTGGGGTGGGCCCAAAATAAGATTAAAAAGGCTATACCAGAGTGGCCCAGAACCACTTGCCCGGCCGGGCCGGGAAAAAAAAAAAAAAAAAAAAAAAAAAAAAAAAACTTAAATAAGAAAATTAATAATTATTTATTTTTTATTATTTTTTTGTTTTAAATTTGGTAAAGATTTCCGATGTGACCCGAAAGCAACAGATTTTTTCTAGGCCATCAGAGTGGCCCGGGGCAACCCGCCCGGCCGGGGCCAAAAAAATAAATAAATAATAATTTTAGTTTTTGGCTGGGACCTTCCCTAGTCCTTAAACGGCCGGGCCGCCTGGGAGAATAGGGTGACCCGGACGGCCCGGCTTGTAGCCCATGCTTTTTTTTTTCTTTTCTTTTTTTTTTTTGGCTGGGACCTTCTTTGGTCCTGCTCAGGCAAACAAGGTGACCCGGGCGGCCCGGCTGGTAGCCTAGTTTAAAATGCGAGGATCTGGGTCCTCGGCAGGCCTAAGGGGCCCCTGCTGCAGATGTGCCCGCCCTAAGTGAAGGCGGGCCTAACAAATCACGAGAGGCCCTCGACTGTCAACTTCGTATTTGGGGTCCAGGCAGTTGTGACGCGCCAGTTGGTTGAGGGAAACACAGGCCGAGCCGCAAATACATTCCACAGCCTTCCAGGCCTTTCTAAAAATGCAGGCCCTGGACAAGAATCGCAGCCTCATTCACATACAGTTGGGAGGCCCAACCGCATGAGGGCCAGCAGCTGCATCGGAGGCACAGCCTCCCGGGGCCTACCGGAAGCTTCTGGGCAGAGGTCCAGGCCAGCCAGGCCGCCGTGGGATGCAGGCTCTTTCCATATAGGAAAGAGCTCGCTGCATGGGCAGGCATTCAGCACTTGCATGCTGGCGGCAGTGCTGCTGGAGCGGACGCTCGTGGGCTGCTGCTCGCGCCGAGAGGCAAGGGGCTAGCGCGTGAGGTTGTGTGTGAGTCAGGGCGCTGCTGAGGGCAGTGCCATAGCCCAGCCTTCATAGCTGGCTGGGGCTTCTACAGTGAGGCGCAGGGGGTGGTCTTCGGGTGTACAGAGGGAAGACGTGGATGTAAGTCAGGGGAGAGAGAGAAGGATGATGATGATGATGATGTGAGGGCACAGACCTGGTATTGACGATGGTCTGCATGGGCAACATCTTCAAGTACTTTGTAGGCTGCTGACGTCAACAGTTGCATCATCAATTAGTAGGCAGACAATAGCTGTGTAGGAAGTAGGCTGAGCGCCGAGCGCCAAGTAGGGAGAAAGGGCCTGGACACTCCTGTTGGTGGTGGTGAGAGCAAGCTCTCATTGACATTGGTTTTCAGTGTTACGATTCTTCATTGGTGTTATATTGGTGCAATTCTGCTTTCTGGACACTGTGATACTATCTGGCCTTCAATGTGATTGTGCATTCTGGATATTGTCGCTATTGCTCATTTTCCTTGCAAAAACAAAAAATAAAAATAAAATATAATTCTATTTTTTATTTGAAATTTGGTAAGAATTTCGATGTGAGCCTGAGGCAAAAGTTGTTCAGTTTATTTTTCTGCATTACATAGTCTTTTTTTTTTTGTTGTTGTTGCGACCTTCTTTGCTCATTGCACGGCCGGGCGGCCTGGCTGGTAGCCTAGATGCAAGTACAATTTCCAATTCAAAAAAATGAGCACGCAAAACTATGCAAGCCAGTAGTAAAAAAATAAAAAAAAGTAAAACAGAAGGGGGAAAAAAAAGTCAGGTGGGCCAGGCAAGGAACGCGAAGGAAGTAACAGTAATAC